TTGGTCCTATTTACAAAAACCATATTATTTTAATATTAACGTTTCAAAATTATAATAATAAATAAATAAAATAAAATAAATAATCAAAACAACGCATACCATTGTAAAAGGCAAATAACCCTTTTTCGACACCTTTGTTAATAGCGATGCGAAGGCGGTTGTTTGTAACGCTATTATCGGGAAGTTTGAACGAAGTAAGAATATATTTTTTGATAGCTTGACGACTAATTTTTTTAAAAAAAGATATCAAACATATTAATAAATAAACCGTAATAATAAAAAGAACAAAAACTTTTAAATTAAAAATAATTAAAAATATTATTTACCTGCTTCCTTTACGATCCTTCAAGGCGACAATAGCATCTAAAATTATAAATTATAAAATATACAAAATAATAAACAAAAATTGATTAAAAACAACATATTATATATTTTCGCAAATCAAAATTTGGTTCTCCGACGATTTCGGTGTTTAAATGATTCCGTAAAGGAAAAAAAAAATCTTCACACGTAAGCTACCTCGAATCATATCTTCATATTTTGGATGAGCGGGAAGGCTGGCAGCCTTTTTGGTTCTAGGAGTCGTAGAAGTTTTAGCCATAGTTTATAGTAAAGGTTTGATAAAATGATAAGATTTTTTTTTTTAATAATAAAAAAAAAAAAAAAATAATGATAATAATAAATGGAGAAAGTTAATTTTGAAAAAGAAAAAAAAACTAGAAAGCCAGGAAAGGCGCTGTTTATATGCAATCACAATTAACTAGTTGCGTGATTTATCAGGTGCGCGTTAATCTTACTTTTTAGAGTACATTTTTCTAAATTTGTAAAATGTTGTTTTCTATTGTTTTTGTGCTTATTAAAAAGGACGTGTCACATCGCGTTTTAAATAATCACATCGCGTCAATTTTCTCTAAATGTTTGTTTATATGCACCATTTCATATATGTACATATTTATTTATGCCTGTTTATACTGGATTATAATTACGTTAAATAAGCGCGCCAATGTTAAAACTTCCAAAAGAATGATCTTCAAAGAAAAAATTATAAAATGTATATTATATACTTTAATACTAATGTATATATTATATTGAATATTTTTTATTAAATAGCACGTTATTTAGTTATCATAAGCGTTAATTTTTGATGATTTTTGATAATTTTTGATGATTCTTGATGATTTTTGATAAAATAAAGAGATGGAGGACTATCTCTTCACATTTTGTAAAAGCTCGTGATTACATTATTAACCAATCAAATTAAAGATATTAATCACAAAATATTTTATACTATATACAGTAAATATGTTAACTTGTTTGTGATTATCGTGGCATCCTATAACCTGATTATAAATAAGGTTTATTATGTCACTTATATACTATAAAAAAATATTTAATGATATATTACTATTTATATGGCGCATTTAAACATGAATCCCGCATGATAAAAGCTTTACAAATAAATAAATAACCGTTCTTTGCATTAAATACAACAATGTATAAAAAAAAAACATAAGATCTCTAATATGATACATATGACAATTAGGTCATGACTTAGATGGATCAGTTGATTTAATTTTAGCCGAAAGTTCAATAATGCGCGACTGAAAACATATATAAATGTGAGCTTAAATATCAGTTCTTTGACGAAATTGTCCAAATTCATGCATACATACATACCTGCAATTCACAATTTTGTTTTTTTAGCATTTCATAATCAGTCTCTAATTTTTTTAATTCCTTATCCCGTTTGTCTCGCTCAAAAGTCCATATCTGCATCTTAAGGAATCGATCATACATAAAGTTATAAAAAACATTCATATCCACATCGTATAATTAATACAAAATTACCTGTCTTTCTAGCGCTATTCCCTGACCGGATTGATTTTGTGACAAGGATTCCGACTTTATTTTCAGATCATCAATGATGAGTGATTGCGAACTTTAAAGTATTGAAAACATAATTAAACTCAAGTTCTGTTAAATATAACTAATGTTACAAATCGCCAAAGTTTTTTTTTTTAACCGATTGGTTGTTTTTTTCAATTGACAACTAGTTGCAACTAATCGATTAGTAAATTAATCGATTAATTGACAAGTTATACTACTTATAGTACCCGGTGTCTTATTCAAACCCTTGACTTTTGAAATTGATTAGTACCCGCAGACACTTTGTATAGAACTGGGTACTATATTTGGAGTATGTTCATATGAAAAGTAATAAATTAATATATTATACTCCTGGATCTTATTTAGAGTGTCTGGCACGCAAAAAAAAATTTGTCATGCCTTTTGGCATATTATAAATATTGTATTATTAATAATCATAATATTATAAATTGAATATATAGTATAGATATTATAAATATGGTTTTTTATACTATACCCAGTGGGATGTCAAAAACAAATTTGGCATGCCACTGACATGCCTTTGCCACTATGCCAGATATCTTAGTCTTATTCAAGAAATAGACCCGAGTCTTAATCATGGGTAGGGTTGTTAATGGAGTACTCCAGACTTTAATAAAACATATAACCCGTTTCTGGAGTGCTCCAAAGTCTGGAGCACTCCATTAACAACCCTAATCATAGGGGTATTTTTTATGGGGATACTATAAGCAGTGCTATACGGTAACTAATCGACTAATTGATTAGTTGTAACTAATTAATTAATTTTTTTAATCGGTTTAGTAATTAATTATTTAATCGATTAATTGTAACTAATCGATTATTGCGGTTTACAAAACTTTGTGAAAATTGCCACTTGATTGTTGGGGGTGCCCTAATTTCCCCCACCACTTCACTATCGGAGAACTATAAAATTGATTAATAACACAGATACTCCGAGATGTGAATAATTAGTAGAACCAATCAGAAGTGGTGGGAAATTAGTAAATTCGATTGTTGGGTGATTTCTGATTTTTTAAAAGTACTCCGATATCTGAATATGAAATTATCATATCGGAGTAATTTTAAGGAATAAATGAGCGACAGAAAGTGAAAACCTGTAAATCATGCTTTTTGAATATTTACTTTTAATATAAAATATCTTAAAACAAATTAATTGAATACTTAAGATTTCAAATTATCTTAAAAAGATGATTCAAATGATATTAAAATAATAATTGTTAAGTTACTCAACTTAAAAATATTTGTATTAAAAATAAATATTCAACAAGCATGATTTACAGCTTTCCCTTACGTCACTCAAATCATCTAACAATCGAATGATTTCTCTTTTTTTTTTTTTTTTAATGTTTGCAAATTTCATAAACCACAGTAATCGATTAATTGGTATCCAAAAAGGCCAATTGATTGGTTGTCAACTAATCGATTTTTCAACTTTTGATTTGTAACACTAAATATAATATAGATTATAGTTATTCACCTCACGGTCGTTTTTAATTGATTTATTTCTTTCTCTTTGGTTTCCAACATCATTTCCATTTTATTCCACTGTGCTACAAGAATTTCCATATGGCGCTTTTGCTCTTGAAATTTACGAGTATCAGCCTCCCTAATAATAAATATACCAATGTAAATTAGTTAACATATATTTGCTGAGATGTACTGAAGGTATGATATAGAAAAAAAAATACCAAAGAAGTAACTGTTTCGTTAATTGATCAATACGGGTTTCATATTCGCTTAACTTTTGGAGTTGAGGTTCAGATACTTTAATATGGTTCTCAAGGTTAAAATTCCTTAATAATAAATAATAAATAATTTAATGCATATGTTTAAACAACACCAAATGAATAAATAGATATCAGACATACGTTGCGTTTGCATTTTCGATCTGCTTCTCTTGTGCTTTAATGGTAAGCTTCCGTATTTATAATAGAATTATATTATTATTAAATTATACTTCGCTAAAGTAATAATTGTCACGGATTATCGTGAAATCGGATTATCGTGAAATTTGGATCTATTTTATGTACGATTTTTAAAATTTTTT